CCCCCCCCCTCTCCCTTCCCGTCCCCCACAGTGACCATCCGCTTGCAAGACTTTTGACAGGTCTTTTCCACAAGAGTTGCCTGGAAGTTGGTGATGGTTCTAATCTCGAGGTATCACCAGAACGAGTACTAATTTACCATAGAAACGAAGAGAATTCTCTATTCTGTCTCTGTCACTACATCAAGAAAGCTCAATTGTACGCCAGTGTTACATGTGTGATATCAAACAGACCTGGGTTCACGAACTTACTTTTTCATAAGTAGCTATTCGTACTATTTTCCCAAGTGCCCCCCCCCCTCCACCATAAAAAAGCGTTAATTTTTGAAGATTTCATTTTTCTACGCTGAATTGTTCTGGTAATAAAGGCCCTAACAAATAATGAAACAATGATGGTCCTCTATCCAATATAACAAGCGTCCCTAGACAAATGCCCTCTACCACTTGTGTAAAAGAAGGTAAGAAAAGGAGAAAGAGGCAACCAAAAGGCTGCAAAAAACGCAAAAAAACGAAGTGAACGCTAAAAAAATCAATCGAATTCAAACAGCAAACCATCAAAAACAGCTAGGAATAACCTCATCATCACTGTGTTCATCTGCGTCGTCACTATTCGTATTTGTCAGTTTCTGCCGTTTTCCCTCTAACTTTTTCAAAGCCGGTATAATCCGCTGGTATTGCTCGCTGTTTTCATCAATTTGAAAATCAGGATTCGCAAACAGTGCACCAAATCGCTTATCGGATAAAACAGAACTCGCCTGAGCGGCCTAAAACACTTAGCGATTCAATTTTTCTGATGAATTATATTTCTCCTATCAAAAACAGCATCATGAATCGATATTTTTTCAAAAAACAAAAAAACGAACATTTTTCCTGGTCTTTTTATCAATTTTTTCCACTTTTGTCAAAGACATTTCTGCTAATAGTTTGGCAGCCAATTCTTTATTAACATCTGGCAATTTTGGCTTCTTTCGCATCGCAGATGTTGCTCGAAGAGAACGTTCATCACCTATTTTTTCCATTATCTGAAAATGAATTTTCTACAGTGTAAAAGAAGCCAGCTAACGTGGTACCATTCAACCAGAGATGATACTGACAGAGTTGGGGGAGAGGGATGGGGAAGTGAAGGGTGCGTGGAGGGCGAACGAGGGAAGGAGGGGGCGGAAAAAATCAAGGACGTCAAGAATCGGTGTGCTGGCTGTGAGCTGCTTACGGTAGTGCCAAACCCTCTAGAAAATTTACGCAATTCAGTGGAAAACAGGGAAAAAGCACTATTTTGGAGAAGAGCTGTCAAATCCGCGCGCATTTTTTAGAGTTTCAAATGATGAGAATGTTAGTGGAAAAAAATGCTCCACAACTTAAAAACTGAAAGTGTGGTACCTTTCGCTGTTTGTAATTCTCAAAAGCAAATGGTTGTGTGAATGTTTTCGCTTTATTGTACAATCGAATATCAATAAAGTATCCATGCATATAGGCACGTAAAAGGCTCGTTCCAATAAGATGTGATAGGCCTATTTCTTCCAGTTGTTCGGCCGTGACAAACTTATAGTCATCATACACTGAAAGAAACCTTTTATAAACATGGATCCTCGTTTCAGGAATAAGGCAATGCAAAAGTTAATAAAAGAATATTAAAAAAATAAAATTCGGGCAATTTGCTCTGTTTTTCAGTAAAAATGTCATGATGCGAGAACACAATCGCTCCGAATTTCAACGTTATCCATTCATTTTTGCGCTGGCAAAATATAAAACTTTCGAAAATTTCACATATGAAATTTTCATAACTTAATTTTGAGCAGTGCCACGGAAATCCCACATGTACTGAGAAATATGTATTGTTTATGGAGCAGCATCAGGCGCAGCACAGTACTATGTAAGCATGTGATAAACATACAAAGAACATAGGTGCGCCAGCAGATGTGTGAATCACACATGAAGTGGTGGTGTACTGGCTAACGGGTCGCAACTGAATGTGAAGACGAGTGGTTCAATTCCTTCTGGGTCCGCAATTTTTTGCAAAAAGACTCCTTTCGTGAGATATACAGTGAGTAAAGCAAAGAGGTCAACATTTGAACTCACAATACATATAAAATCAAGCCTCTAGCCTTTATATTTGAGTTAGATTAGGAAAATCCCAAACCTATTTCCAGAAATGATAAAAATCAAAAGAAAAAATTAGGGTCAATTTCAAAAGGTAGATCAAATTCTCCAGGATAAAGCTCCTGGCAAAGTAACCGAATTTGTCGTAAACACTACCTGCTGGTTGCTCTGTTTCTTCCAGTTCTTCAGTGATTGTTTCGAGATAAGAGCACCATCTTGGAGCTGTGCCAATTGCGGGCACAAAATACTGCAACATTTTCGGGGCCTCGTTTGCAAAAAATAACAGTCCTAAAAATATTTCAGAAGCATTAATTCGAAGATGGTAAACACAGTAACCCATATTTCTTGGATCACTTACGCTGATTTGCTGTACAAAATGCCATTTTTTTGGGGTACTCACAACATGCAATGGTTTCTTTCTGTACTACGAGCACTAATCAACATCCCCGAGAGATTGGTTAGCAGAAATTAAAATTTTAAAATTCAATTTTTCACTTTTTGAAAAAATTTTTTAAAAATTATTAGCTGAATTTTCGTTCTGATCCCACTTTTTTTCTCACGTAGTTAACAGGCTTCTCTGTCCAACATTTTCTTTTTCGCGCCCCTCGGTCTTCTTTACGCATGGTTTTTTCGAAAAATAAGGCGTTTAGCAACAAAATTCGATCAATGACTCCCTTACCAGAATTAGGATATCGACAGAAATCATTCAGTGCTGTTCCCGGTTCAATTGCCGCAAATGGTTTTCCGTTTGTTTCATGCCACATTTTCAGCACACGCATATCCATACTTAGAACAAGACGCTGTTCGGGCACAAAATCGATTTTGGTTATCGGTAAACTTGTTTGGTGGTCTTTGATTAGTAACGGCTTCCGGGATCGGATGTCATATTGCAGAATCTGGAAGGCACTCGGTAAAAATTTACGGTTCACTGTATACAGCATATGTATTCAAAAGCAGGGGAAAAAGATGTCATTGAGGTATTCCGTCCAATACATCAAATAACTCTTTTCAGGGGAACGAAAAAGGAAAGCAAGGAAACGAACGCTAGGATCACAGGCAAAAACGAGTAGTGTCGTGGAAAACCCGTGAAAAGCCGGCTAAGAAGCAAACACAAAGAAAAAGATGTATACTATCCATGGAAGGCAACCAAGAAAGATGTATTCTGCTTTGAAAGGCACATACAGAGCAGAAATGCTGGCAGGCTGCTGATCCTGGAGCACAGGGCCAGCGGTGCTGTGTAGCATGCCGCGTCCGGATGTGAAGAGAAGTAATTCAGTTCTCTCCCTGTCCATGACCGTCTTCGAAAAAGGACTCCGTTCACGACAGACAACGCACAAGTGGCTTTAATCAAAATAACACTGGAAATATTCCAACACGGGCTGTTCTGGAAACAATCTTTGAAGTCACAAACCTGACCAGTACTTGTTCCAACGCCCAAATGGAGAGAATCCTTGAATTTTATTCCAGATATATATGGCAATTCGCTGAAATTATGATATTACTTTTACACACTCTTCGACTGGAGGATGTATTCACATCAGCTATTTGCAAGAGAAGGAAAAAGCCGGCTATCTTTTGTTCTAAAAAAAATAAATGGCAACGCGCACCAGACTAGCCGGTGCGATCATGCGTTTTGTGCAATTCAGC